AAATCAAACCTTGTGAGTTGAACATTAAATTTTTTCTACTGCTATTACATAATATTAAAAATTAGTCAAAATGAGAAAATGCTGTTTTGTATTGTAACCTCAGCTTCTTTTTTAAGAATATTAATTAATATAGAGGATGAGTCACATAAAACTCTAGAAATGCATGTCTGAAACCAGATAACATTCTAAAATATAAACCTATTAAAAGTCATTTGGTCGCTAGGGGTGGGTGATTATCGAAATAAATTATCTATCATTGAAAATAATCGATTATTTTCGATCGATCGATTATTTTCAAACAATCCATTTTTTTTCGTATTTCCTTGAAAAATCAAAAATAATCGATTAATTAAAAAGCCAATTAACCGATAAATCAGTGTTTACAAAAAATAAAAGAATTATCGTTTATTTGAAATAATCGATTATTTTCAAATAATCATTTTTTTTTTCGTCCATTGAAACAGATTATTCGATAATCTTTGAAAAATCGAAAACAATCGATTAATCAAAAATAATTTAAAAAAAAACGAATTGTCGATTATTTTCGATCAATCGATTATTATTAATAATTAATTTTTATTGTATTTCCTTTAAAATCGATAATTCGATTATCTTTGAAATACCGAAAATAATAGATTATTCCAAAATAATCGCTTAATCGAAAATAACCAATTAATTATGAAGCCGATTCTACAATAAATCTATTTTCCAAAAAATAACCGAATTATGGATTATTTTCTAATAATCCTTTTCATATTTCCTTTAAAATTGATTATTCTATTATCTTTGAAAATCGAAAATATTCGATAAATCAAAAATAATCGATTATTAAAAAGCTGATTAACCGATAAATCGATAATTCTAAAAAATAACCGAAATATCGGTTATATAAAATAACCGATTATATTCGATCAATCGATTATTTTCATATAATACCTTTAAAAAATCGAAAATAATCGATTAATCGAAAATAATCGATTAAAAAATAAATCGATTTTTCCAAAAAAGCGATTATTTTTAATCAATCGATTATTTTGAATAAATCTACTTTCTTTTTATATTTCCTTTAAAATCGATTATTACATTATCTTAAAAAACTTAAAATAATTTATTAAAAATAACGGACAAAACGATTTTCATAAAAAAATATCAGAATAATCGATAAATCGATTATTTTTGTAACTCCTATCGGTCGCTTGCTTTTATCCGAGCATTTAGCTCCAAAATTTAGAAATTCGGATTTTTGATCCCGTTATCTTTAAAACCGCATTCGACTGTATAATAAATTTTGCTAGAATTTGGATTTTTTTAGTAAACGAAAATTTTGTTCGAGTTGTTTAGGGGTTTATAATGTAACATTTTATCAACAATGTGACCAACTCCCGTAACTTTAGTATTTTTTTGCTTATACTAGATCATATTGTGCGTTTTACTTTGTTTTATGACTTAAGATTCAAATGTCACTTTCGATTTGACCGCAAATAAGATGAACCTTGAAATTTTAAGTATATCATCTAATATTCTTATAAAAATACCTTACAAAAATACAATTTAGCAAGCAACTATGCTTCTTTAATTCTTATTTATCTGCAAAAAAGGGCTAAAAACCACCTTTAGTAAATATTCTTATAAAACTACTTTACGTTAGCAACAATGCCTATTTACTTCTTATTTAAATTAAATGTTCAAAATTTTACCCTTTTGTAAATTTATGTAACATGAAATCTGTTTTCTAAAATATGTATTTGGTGCTTAATATTTATTGAAACCCCTTAAAGCGGATCTGAAGTATTCAGCTTAAAGGATCATAACGCTTTATGTCAAAACGTTAATAAATATTTACCGCTAAAAACGAATATATTTTTTATCTTTCATAACATTGGTACTTTTATTATAAGTATATACAATTTTTCAAGATACATCGTGGCATTTTGAACTTAAAATTGAATGACTAGAACACTTTAAATTGCTAAAACACCAACATATAAATCAAAAAAACAACTGTCAATGGTGATTGAACTCGATATGTTAAATATCTATAGGATATATCCATTAGTTACTCATGAACCTCTACTAAAGGTACCCATTAGATATTTTGCTGGATATCCATAGAATATCTTCTATAGCCTGGATATAGACAGACATTTGGATATACATATTAGATCCACGGGATATATATGATATCCTGTGGATATATTGGATATCCACAAAAGATATTGTGTGGATATCTCTGGGATTTGGTGTGTTGTCTGGGCAGTTTCAGTTCAATCAGAGCCATTAGCCACGAAGTTCACGTAGAGTATTTAGTAACTACTACATCCATAACGACTAAAAATAAAATAGATTCATTCCTGCAGTTAACAATGAATTACATAACAAAGAAGAAAAAATACTTATTTGGTACCTAATGGTATTTTGGAGGTCACTCGATAAAAGACAATAAATTTGTTTATTGTTGCAATTTAAAACAGACCCAATCCGTCAAATTCCACAGTTGTTCGATTATTCAAAAGTTTGAGAAATGTGGATGTTTATATTCTTTGCTCCGAGCAAATAATATAAATACTTGTATTGATGTAGACTGGACATTACCGTCTAATATGTTCCCAAAACTTGTATTTTATTATTACACTAGCTATTGCCTACGGCTTTGCTCGCGACCTTGCTCGCATATAGTCGTGTTATTATAAAAAAATACATGACTTCCTTTTTTATTAATTTTTATTAGTTTTATTGATTTTCATTCATTTTTTTATATTTATTAATTTTTATTCATTTGTATTCATTTGTATTCATTTGTATTCATTTGTATTCATTTGTATTCATTTGTATTCATTTGTATTCATTTGTATTCATTTGTATTCATTTGTATTCATTTGTATTCATTTGTATTCATTTGTATTCATTTGTATTCATTTGTATTCATTTGTATTCATTTGTATTCATTTGTATTCATTTGTATTCATTTGTATTCATTTGTATTCATTTGTATTCATTTGTATTCATTTGTATTCATTTGTATTCATTTGTATTCATTTGTATTCATTTGTATTCATTTGTATTCATTTGTATTCATTTGTATTCATTTGTATTCATTTGTATTCATTTGTATTCATTTGTATTCATTTGTATTCATTTGTATTCATTTGTATTCATTTGTATTCATTTGTATTCATTTGTATTCATTTGTATTCATTTGTATTCATTTGTATTCATTTGTATTCATTTGTATTCATTTGTATTCATTTGTATTCATTTGTATTCATTTGTATTCATTTGTATTCATTTGTATTCATTTGTATTCATTTGTATTCATTTGTATTCATTTGTATTCATTTGTATTCATTTGTATTCATTTGTATTCATTTGTATTCATTTGTATTCATTTGTATTCATTTGTATTCATTTGTATTCATTTGTATTCATTTGTATTCATTTGTATTCATTTGTATTCATTTGTATTCATTTGTATTCATTTGTATTCATTTGTATTCATTTGTATTCATTTGTATTCATTTGTATTCATTTGTATTCATTTGTATTCATTTGTATTCATTTGTATTCATTTGTATTCATTTGTATTCATTTGTATTCATTTGTATTCATTTGTATTCATTTGTATTCATTTGTATTCATTTGTATTCATTTGTATTCATTTGTATTCATTTGTATTCATTTGTATTCATTTGTATTCATTTGTATTCATTTTTATTCATTTTTATTCATTTTTATTCATTTTTATTCATTTTTATTCATTTTTATTCATTTTTATTCATTTTTATTCATTTTTATTCATTTTTATTCATTTTTATTCATTTTTATTCATTTTTATTAATTTTTATTCATTTTTATTCATTTTTATTCATTTTTATTCATTTTTATTCATTTTTATTCATTTTTATTCATTTTTATGAATGAAGAATGAATGAAGAATGAATGAAGAATGAATGAAGAATGAATGAAGAATGAATGAAGAATGAATGAAGAATGAATGAAGAATGAATGAAGAATGAATGAAGAATGAATGAAGAATGAATGAAGAATGAATGAAGAATGAATGAAGAATGAATGAAGAATGAATGAAGAATGAATGAAGAATGAATGAAGAATGAACGAAGAATGAACGAAGAATGAACGAAGAATGAACGAAGAATGAACGAAGAATGAACGAAGAATGAACGAAGAATGAACGAAGAATGAACGAAGAATGAACGAAGAATGAACGAAGAATGAACGAAGAATGAACGAAGAATGAACGAAGAATGAATGAAGAATGAATGAAGAATGAATGAAGAATGAATGAAGAATGAATGAAGAATGAATGAAGAATGAATGAATGAAGAATGAATGAAGAATGAATGAAGAATGAATGAATACATAAGTGTGTACAGAAGTATTGAAAATGCAGTAACGTTGACGAAGAACCATTTGTAAAACAATGTGGAGCGTGAAAATGGGAAAATAATGTCTCTGGCGTTGTTGAAACCAGAGAACCTTGTTCAAGTACTAAAATTGCAGAACAAGTTAAAATATTCAAAAAACTATTCGAACTATTTTAAAAATAAACGGTTAGAGCTTGATTACTATCCGAAGAGTACATTACTTTACAATGCGCAGAAACCAGATTGAATTTATAGGCGGTAGGCGCAGTCACAGACCTGCCAGCGTCTTATTTATAATACTGCTGTTTCATTCAATGCTGTAGCAAATAATTTTTTCAACAAAATGTAATTTTAGAAGAGCTAGAACGATAAAATTTTGATACTGTAATCAAAATTCATTTAGAAGTGAGCAGATCATACGATTCCCCACCTTTGCTAAAGCATGTAGTAAGGCGGGCCTCGGTGATCAGCAGTCTTTGTTTAATAAACATGTTTATTATACCTTGTCTATCATTGTAATGCAAAGGGTCCGCGTTTAACTTTCCGTATGTATATATATATATATATTTTGTATAATATTGTTCATGGGATTAATAACTCGATGGCGATGTTTCTTACCTTTTAACCAAATTCTGGTGTGTGATTGTTCCAACAAAGCAGGTAGAATGACTTGCAGCAGAAGCAACTCCAAGGATAATTCATTCACTTGTGAGTCATTGTTATTTAATGAAACGGTATATGGTAAAAAAGTTGGCAATAAAACTTTAAGTATCCTAATTGGAAGCCATAACATAAGCAAAACAGCACTACCAAAGATGACAGCCGATATAAGCAATTTTCTGATATGCTCCAAAATAGGCAAATGGATCATTTCCTGAATTGGACTAAAATCAGGATCATTGAAATTTCTTAAAAACCACAACACACCTGGTCTTAAAATTTCTCTTAGTAATAATATAAATGAAGCAAAATAATAGACATAAACCATTCCTATTAACCAGTGAATGAATATAGAAGTACCAGGTGCTGATCTAAAAGTATTTTCTCTATCTTTTAGGCTAGCATCAAACATAGCCAAAGAACATATATCTAACCACCAACCACAAACTAGAGGGATAATGCCAATTTCAACTACACTCAACATTGATACCTTAACAACCACATAACAAAGACCAAGTATTCTTTTGGCTTTGTTAAAACCCATCCAAGCTGCAATTCTATGCAGAATTACAAACCAAATTCCCACAGCACAATATCCCACTAGTGTAGTTAATAATCCTTCAAAGTGACTAGCAGCGGCTGCATCCCTCATGTTGAAGATAGAGAGAGTTAAAAGACCCATGTGATAAGGAGCATATGCAAATATCAGAATGAAGAGTGTATTTAAGGAGATGACCCAAAACACATGTTCCAGAAACATTAAAGAACCATCTAAACCTAAAAGTCGTTCCCAAGTAATTTCCTCAGCAGCTCTATCCCATTCCATTGGAATCCAGTTATTATCTTCCCCAGCATTGACATCACCTTCCTCAGCTTGTTCTTGGTTTATTTGAGCTGCTGGGCCTGAAAGTGGTTAAATTTAGTAATTTTAATTGTGGAAATTTTTGTATTCCTGAGGTTATGTGTTATTTATTCATTATAACTTACCTGCATCTTGTCGACCATTTTCTTCCACCTCGTCTGGCAACTCTTCTGGAATGTTTTCCAATACACGAGGTAGTTCTTCCTGCACATTATCCCTCTGTAGCCAATCTGGACCACCTCCATGTAAAATCTGTTCCCTCAACCATACTAGACCAGCAAAAGCAAACAGAGTGCATGTAACTACAAAGCAACCTTGGAATATGTCTGAAGCTAGATTTTCTGTTGAAAGCATTTCGAATGGCAAAGTTAATATAGCATCGACGGTGTCGGCAAATAATGCTCTAAAAAACAAAAAACTATACTTTCATATTAATTTTTAAACTAAACAAAAGAAGACATTCAAATTTGACTTAATTAACCGATTTACGGCCACTGATGCCTATAAGCAACACTGCATAAATTATTTTTTTACTGATAGAAGGTCCAACAAAAGTGATAAGATCATATTTAAAGAACGTTCTTCATTTGTATTTTTTTGGGAAATGCCCAAAAAACCGAATTTTGTTACATTGTCGAAAATTAAAATATCATATACATGTTAGATAGATCGCATGGATCTAATTTAACTTTTTAAAAAAAGGTAATACTTGTTAAAGAATATATTGAAAGATTAGTACATGTTGTGTGTATGAATGTGAGTTAAAAACTAAAGTATAATATAAGAAAAAATCCTTTTAAAGCGAACGCGAAATGTAATACAATTTTTAGTGGTAAAGGTAATCCAAAATGTGATTGTGTTCCGCAAAGTAATTTATTTGCCTCTTATTATTTGTTAATTATGTTTTGGATTTTACTGTCTAAACACACTCATAATATCTACGAATATTATGTACGAACTTTATATAGTGAAATCCGACAACCGGGGGTTGATAATTAATTTAAATAATTCTTATATATTACATATTATATCCAAATTTTTATTTCGAATTCAAACAACATCCCAGCATCCCGCCTAGTAGGCGCCGTTTAATTACTTCTGGGAAAAGAAATATCTACGCGTAAACTCTAACGGTCGCTAGAACAAAACAGATGTAACCGATAGGGCTATATTCAGGAATTAATACAGGGCTTTATAGTCTTTATGCCCGAACGCATAGTCGTTCTCTTTCCAATACATTGGCGTATATGGAAATTTAAGTATAAATACCCGGGTTTTTGTGGGCTGGAGGAACATTAACTTTTTCTTCTTCACCGAGTCAAGTTGACAAAAATACGCAAATATCCATGTCCCGCTACGGTGACTTCTTTTTCTTTATATTCTTCAAATATAATTAAAAAGAGATATCGCTACCCTTACGGTGGCAGCGCTTTTGTTATATTTTGAGAACGGAAATAAAAGATATCGACGGAGTAGAGAAATTAGTTTCTATAAACGACGGCTTCTGCAGACTTTTATTTTACCCTTTTATGGGAACTAAAAGCTCCGAGGTTAGAAATGACACATTAGAAAGCCTATATAAACATAATGTTAAGCCTAAAAATGGCACATAAGCTAAATGTTCGGCTGTACAAAAGAATAGATGTTAAATAAACAGTATTCAAAATTAATCTCGGTGTTTCCTTTGTTCTTCCTCCATTACAGCTACATTGAACTCTAAACGTAATTCTGGGGGTTTTTACATAACTTCGTGGGGATCTACTAGACGAAATTTAGGCCAAGGTTATAAGTATTTGCAAAACTAGGTGAGGGTCCGGTTTGTCAAGTTACAATATTGTAACGCCCAGTATTTTATTGTTGTAACATAAGGAATAACAAATTTAAATGTTATCGAATTACACATTAATTTTCAATAATTTCAAATGCTGGACATCTAGGTATCGAAAAGACTTTAAAACCTATTAAAGAAAACCACTGGTTCGCATAAATGAGAAGGTTTGTCTCCAAATATGTCAAAGCATGCCTAAGTTGTGCATATTATAAAAACAGCGGATTATTAAAACGGGGCAAACTTCGCATCCCATAGAAAAAGTCTCAATCCCTTTTCACACTATTCACATTGACCATTGGGTCCTTTTGAAATGAGCAAAAATAAGAACATATTATTTTTTATTAGTAATAGTGGATATATATTCATTAAATTCTGTATTTTGGAAACTGTGCTTAATCAAAAAGCGAAACATGTTTTAAAAACTTTAATGAATCTGATTAGTTTGTTTGGCATACTGAACAGAATAATCAGTGACGGAGGTACATCAAATTCATTCAAAATGTTTAATAATACTTATGACATTAAACATATATTGAATGCAGTGGCTAACGGGCAATGTGAAAGGTATAACAAAACCATAGTTAATGCGTTAGCTACCACAGCAGCTTGGGAGGATTCTATTAGGTGGGATTGTTTTGAGAAACAAATACAATGTTCGCTAAATACTAGTTTTAATAAATCAATCAATCAATCCGACTCCTATGTAAGTCTTAATTGGTTACAAGTCGAAGAATATGTCTGAAGCTTGCATTCTTAATAAAGTTCAGAATTAAATACAACGACTAGACCTTAAATTATTTCATAGTAATATAGCTAAATACATCACAGAAGATCAGAGAAAACAGAAAGAACGAAATGATAAATCATGACGAAACGATAGAAAATACGTAGGAGGGTTGGTTATGATTAGAATAACTGGTGAAGTAGCAACTGGTTCTAGTAAAAAGCTCTTTCTCAAATAAAAGGACCATGCGGATATTCCTAAATGGGACATTATGCCCATTCGAATGCATATTGTTTTAACTCGTTATCACATGACGGAAGTTTGTCGAGAATTTTGGCTGAATAAATAGGCTGTGCCAAGAATTTGGCTCAGGAAAAGCGGTGGCACAAGAACATTTTTAAGTTCTATTAATCAATAGCTATCCGATGGCATAAGTCTTATCTCGTTATCAAATGACGACATTTCTCGCTAATTATGACACCGGAAGTGCCATTGTTTTAACTTTTTTGCTCAGGATAGTGATAGGCACAGGTGCCGTTTGGTAAAGTACTATATTTTTACATGTCTCTGAAGCATATTTCATTTCGTTATCAGATGACGGTCGAAATTTGCAGTGGGCTCTCCTACTATTAGATAGATTTCTGTCCGTTAGTGAATCGATTTTGACCAAATTTTATAATAGAACAGATCCAACAGATTTTCAGAATGTTTATTTGTTGAATTCAATAATTTCAAAATTAAAAGGTAATGCATCGACAGTAATTAATATTAATAGTTGTCAAAACTGGGATGATTTAAAAACCGTATTAACCAGCACTTTTTCCGATCAACGAGACGAAGTTTGCTTGAATAGAGATCTCGTAATGCTAAAACAAAATTTTAATGAACCTTGTAATGAAGTCAATTTTCATTACTATATTTCGGCCTATTCCGGATATAAATTTTAATTTTTATTTTATTTTAACTTCATATATCAAATTTTGTTTCATTTAAATTAGCGTATTATACCTGAGTAACGATAGCGCGCGCGATCCGCGCACACCGAGTGGGGAGCCAGCCTGCTTGGGCATAGAGACTGGGATTCAGCATTGAGTATTAAAATGATTCATTCAAAATCATTCTACTAGCTTGATTTCATTTTTCCGACCTCGTTAAGTCTGCTTCGTTATACGCCGTAAAATCATTGCCGAGACCGTAGTTAGGTACACCGAATTCATGTTTACGTTTTTTTAATTTTTTTAATTTAATAGAAATAATAATTGACTTTAGATTTTCGTTAAAAATATTTTGATTTTCAGATAAATTATTTAGTTTTGATTTTATTTAGAAACATTGGAAATTAGTTTTGGTTATTAGGAAGTAGAAATTTTGTTTCTATTTTATTAATTACTTAATTTTTATTGCGACCGTGGATTGTGTTTCTATTTTAGAGTAATAGTAAACCTAATTTCAAATTAAATTCCGTATACAGTTAATTACTTAATTTTTATTGCGATCGTGGATGTTGTTTCTATTTTTAAGTAATTATAAATTTAAATTAAATTCCGTATATAGTTAATTACTTAACTTTTACTACGACCATAAATTTTGTTTCTATTTATTCACAATCTGGTTTAACTTTTTTTTACATTTATGTTTCTTTACTTGGGAATAGAATTAGTTCGAAAGTTGGAAAGTTGAAATAGTATCATTTTTCATGTTGAGTGGACTGGTTTTGGCAAGAAAGCTCACATGGGATTAGATACTATCCCGGTATTAGATTTTTTTAGATTAACCCCTAGCCGTGATTAACATATTAGTGTTTTTATTATGTTTGAGAGGGCTGGTTTTGGCGAGTACACTCATCATAGGATAAATACTAACCCGGTTTTTGATTATTTTTTTTAGTTACCTCTGCCCCGTGATTAAAATGATAGTATCATTTTTATGTTGAGCGGGCTGGTTTTGGCGAGTACACTTCATAGGATTGATACTATCCCGTTTTCTTACCACATTTATCTATTCCCTATTCACTAACACAAGGAGGTTTGTTTCAGTTTCAATACCGACTAGATAGTTAACCAGATAACTTTTTCTACGACCGTGATTCTATTTCTGCTTTTACGAAACAAAATATTTAAGTTCAATCTTTTTTTGCCGATTTAACAGTTAACTAGCTAACTTTTGCTGCGACCCGCAATTATTTGCCATTTTTCTTCTTTAACTGAAATAGTAATTTTGTTTTTGGTTTCGTTTTGGCTCAACCACCGAACCGACAATTTATTAATTAGTTACTATTGCCACCGAGCATCTTTCTTTTAATTTTAATTATACCGTCTGATTGAGACTAATCAAAGTTCACTACTGGCCGATCTGTTTGTTTTTCTTTTTGTTCAGGGTTTTAAAAATACGAGCGAGGGTCGGCGTTGAAATATTACTTACAAATTATTTATTGTAAATAGTTAAATTCAATATATGTGTCAACGTTACCTTGACTATTACTGAGGTTACTGATCCCTAATTTACTTCCCCCTTTATTCCAGCAGTGATAAATTCTTCATCACCACAAGTAACGATTAAAGCCCGTTACTTGTGGTTACTTATTACCTGTGTCTGAGTGACCAACGACCCCTGGAATTTTTCATCTCCATCTGTGCTGCCCGAGTACTTTCGACGCCGTTTCGAAAGTTTGTGGAGTAAACCACACATAAAATCTGGCGCCCGAGAGCCGTCCCGTCAACAGGCGTCATTTGTAAGTAATCGTTTTCTCTGAGGCGAGAAAAACCCTTACAACCTGTAAAAGATTTTTACGAGAAAGAAATTTGTATAAAAATGTAACCTTAAAAACTTTTCTTTCTGGATTAAAAGA